TAAGATGCGACTCCATCTGTTGGTCACAGAGAGGAAGCAGAAGTAGTCGCGTGTCTGCATAATTGGGCCAAAAAGAAAGCGGAAAGGAATACTGTAGATCTGCATCGCAGATAACGAGGCCAGTTCGACTGGCCCATCAGCCCACACGGCCAGAGGCGAGTGACAGATAAACAGATCGCCAGAGGTAACTCGCCCGCCGGAGAACCGCCAGCTCAAGCGGGGGACGCGTTCCCAGACTTCTATTACCTCTCGAGTTGCTTTCCAAGGGCGTGTTCCCGAATCACCACAGTGCAGGCCATCAAAATGGCTTCACCCGCCAATAATTGGATGTACCTACTACAGTAACAAACCATTTTCTCAAACCATTTACAAAGCTAGTGGCACTTACTTGGTAAATTAATTTATTGTACTGTGGCGATCCTTCCCTTGACCACCGTTGAGACAGGCTGTAATCGGATCCAGTAAAAGGTACATTTCAATTTTGTTACACTCAGCACATTCAGGTCAGCAAACTTCTCATCAAAGCAGGTACAGCTCTACAAGACCTACTCAAGCAAGACATCCTAGGGCAGGTTGACAAGAGGCGAGCCTTCTCAATGGTTGGCAAGAAAGCACATTCTACACAGGGTCTCTTTGAGTGGAGGGACAAAGAGAGCCTTCATTGAGTGAATGGGAGATCTCATTGAGTGGAGGGGAGAAGGGATCTCATTGAGTGGAGGGGAGAAGGGATCTCATTGAGTGGAGGGGAGAAGGGATCTCATTGAGTGGAGGGGAGAAGGGATCTCATTGAGTGGAGGGGAGAAGGGATCTCATTGAGTGGAGGGGAGAAGGGATCTCATTGAGTGGAGGGGAGAAGGGATCTCATTGAGTGGAGGGGAGAAGGGATCTCATTGAGTGGAGAGGAGAAGAGGGTCTTTATTGATTGGAGGTGAGAAGAGGTTTCATCAAGTGCGGGGGTGAAGGAGTTTTGTTGAGTGGAGGGGAAAAGCCATCCCTGTCATCCTACTGAGTGCAGAAAATTGAGCGGGGTTTTTCAATTGGCGGCATGTGCCTGGTTGATGGTCACACAGGTAGAACAAGCAGAGCATACAAGATTTAATTTATACATACAAGAGGAAAAGAGAAGGGAAAAATGTTATGAACGGTACAGGAAAGGAAGTAGAAAAGCTGTGCAATCGTGCAGGTGGAAAAAGATCGATCAACGAAGTACCCATCAACTCACAAGTCATGCTGTCCAACAAAGGACTTGGTTGTCAGCAAAGTGCTTGTGAAGGCAGGCTCCCCTTCGCAGTTGTCCGTTTTGTAGACTTTGAGATTGGGGCAGTCCGGAGCATCGTCAATCCCTTTCACAGTGAACCTGGCGAGTAATTTCCAGCGACAGCATCAGGGTATTGAGTGCACTTATTCAGGTTGAAGCGAAGGGTGTAGCGTCGGGAGGAGTTGTCCTTGGCTGTTTGATTTGCGAGGAGAGTGATGCGGAAAGATCCGACGATGGGAGATGCACCTGAGAAAGAGTGGCACAGGGGAGGAAGAAATCAGAAAGAGCAGTTTTTGTGTGTGCATTCGCAATCGCACGTGCATTTCCACATTCCCAAACCTACATATGACTTCCATACATGCATACATGCACTGCCAGCAACAGCCTTTCAGCCAAGCTGGGGCGAATGGGAAGAGAGAGAATCGGGCAAGTGGGGGAGGAGAGAGTGGGGCAAGTGGGGGAGGAGAGAGTGGGGCAAGTGGGGGAGGAGAGAGTGGGGCAAGTGGGGGAGGAGAGAGTGGGGCAAGTGGGGGAGGAGAGAGTGGGGCAAGTGGGGGAGGAGAGAGTGGGGCAAGTGGGGGAGGAGAGAGTGGGGCAAGTGGGGGAGGAGAGAGTGGGGCAAGTGGGGGAGGAGAGAGTGGGGCAAGTGGGGGAGGAGAGAGTGGGGCAAGTGGGGGAGGAGAGAGTGGGGCAAGTGGGGGAGGAGAGAGTGGGGCAAGTGGGGGAGGAGAGAGTGGGGCAAGTGGGGGAGGAGAGAGTGGGGCAAGTGGGGGAGGAGAGAGTGGGGCAAGTGGGGGAGGAGAGAGTGGGGCAAGTGGGGGAGGAGAGAGTGGGGCAAGTGGGGGAGGAGAGAGTGGAGAGAGAAGAGTGAGCATGTGTCAAACAGACTCACCTGCAACACACTAGGTCTCGGTTAGCCCATAGCCTCTAGGGCACGCCCAGTAAGGCACCAGCACTGCACTGTAGTACTCTGAAGGCACAGTCTTGCAGAAGGCTCCTGAGGGACAGACGCCACAGGGTGAGTCTAGAGAGCGCGGCATGCAAGGGAGAAGAGAATATAGGGATGGGGCACGTGTAGTAAGGCACTGGCATGCGCAATAAGGCACCTGCACTGTGCTGTTGTATTCCGAAGGCACGGTCTTGCAAAAGGCTCCGGTGGGACATGTGCCACAGAGTGAATGCAATGTTAGCAGGGGATTGAGGCTGGGGAACATAGCAGGTGGTTCCAGAGGGACAGGTGCCACAGAGTGAGCCTGGGGGGGTGGGGATGGGTGCAGTGCGGTATGTGAATGCAATGTCAGTGAGGGATTGAGGCTGGGAAACACAGGTGGTTCCAGAGGGGCAGGTGCCACAGATTGAGCCTGGGGAACCCAGCACGCAAGGAAACAACTCATCTCACAGGCAGCGCACGAAGGAACGCACCCCACTGGCAGAGCAGGAAGGAACGCACCCCACTGGCAGAGCAGGAAGGAACGCACCCCACTTGCAGAGCAGGAAGGGATGCACCCCACTTGCAGTAGTGCTCTTCATTTCCATCCACCGTGGATCACATTTGCCACCAGGCTCACAGCCCAACGCCACACAGGCAGGATCTGCAGCAGAGGCGCAAGTAGGGGCAACAGAAAAGATACGTTAATGAAAATGGACGAGATGCAGGCAGTCGAACGAGGCGTCTAGTTTTGAGGCGCCTCAAAGCTATGAAAATGGACGATATGAAGGCAGCCGAACGAGGCATCTGCATCACGAAGTCAGGATGGCGACTTTTGAGACGTCAGGCATTTGCCGAAATTTCTTTGCCACAGACGAAGGCAACAAATCACACCCTTTTGAGCACGCCCTTCCTAATTTGATGAAGTCTCTTCTAGGGGTCGCTTTCTATGGGAGAAGCAATGAACGCACTGGCATTCGGCTGTGGCTGCGGCGACGAATCCTTTGGAGGCAGCAGCTGCGACGAATCTTCCTTCAGGGGTGGCTGCTGCGGCAAATCTTCCTTCTGTTGCTGCTCGGGAACAGCACAGGGAACAGATGCCACGGCAGCCCCCTTCTGAAGCTGCTTCTTTGGATTTGGGAACCTGAAGGGCGTGGCAAGTGGAAGCCCAAGAGATAGCAACATGCTTATTATTCCCTCCCCTCCCCTTCCCTCTCTGCCCTCCCTCCCCTCCCCTTCCCTCTCTGCCCTCCCTCCCTCCCCCAAGCCATGCGCCGATCGTGTCTCCTCACCATGCCTTACACACGGCCACACAACCGACCTCACACCCACACGTATCCCAACTCTCACATGGCATGTCATTTCTGACACAGTCAACCCTTTACTCACTTGGCCGCAGTAGTGTTCGGATTAACCATGCTGTCAATCTCCGTGCCCTGGCAACCGCGTTATCCAAACACCACCCAACACTCAAAACACTCACACACCACCCACCACTCACTTGGCCACAGTAGCAGTCCCCGGGTTGACCACGCTATCAATCCCCATGCCCTGGCAGCCGTCCTTCCCAAAGAACTTGACCTGTGAGCATGCGACACATGTCGCCTTGCCGCCCGAATCCACGCTGCTCGAACCCTTACGGCCGCTCCACCACACCTGCGCGCTCGCCTGCCTCGCCTCCTTCTTGGGCACGCTCACGCAGCGATGCTTGCTGAAGCTCATCTGCGCAGGTCCCAACACCACCGCTGTGGTAACGGGCAGATCCGACACCCCACTGGTGCTTCCGGCGCCTACTGCTGATGAGGGCAAGGGCGAGCAGCAGGAGGCCGACAGGAGAGGCACGCATCGATCCCATGATCATGACTGCGGGGGTCCCGCAGGAGAAGCGGCAGAAGAGGCGCAACCGGTGAGCTTGTGCTGTGACGTGCGGTCCACTGCGGTTTAGAGCCACGCGAAGTGTAGGTAAGGTGGGTAGACTGAGGGGTACTAGTCCAATGCGAGGATAGTTCAATGCAAGGACAGAACCGGAAGGACAATGGTGGTGGAATAATAGAGATGTAAGAATGGCTTTTGAGAATTCTAAAAAACCATCTCGTAGAACCGGAAGGCGAATGGTAGTAGAATTACAGAGATGTATATCGGCAGGCTTGCTTCGGGATGTGTAATTTATGTTGCGAATTACGATCATGAGCCAAGCGTGATGGCCGCAGCCCCATGGCAATCCTAGGAGCTCAGTCCGTGATTAGCTCGAGTCAATCGTTGGAAACGATAATCATGCAGACTTTAGAAACGCGATTTGTGCTTAGCTAGCGTGAAATGTGGGGGCAACTCGCTAGTCTGAATCTAGGAACGCGACCAAATGGCGCAACGCAGAGGCTTGTAGCAAGGCCTTTTCAGATTGCGGCGTCCAGTCAAGTTATCATGGGAATAATACACGCGAGAAACTTGGGAACCGGCAGTTGCATTATCAGCAGAAGCAGTTTCCAGCCGCTGAAACTGAGTGGAGGTGGTGGAGGCTTGAGGTTTGAACCTTGGGAATGGAATTCCACAACCTCGGTGGAACCCATCCGGGGGTCTTCATTGAGTGGAGAGAAGGAAGGTCGTTGAGTGGAAAGGAGAAGCCATCCACATCACCCTACTCAGTGCACCAGATTGAGCGAACAGCAATAGCTGCTGGGACGTCCCTGGACGATGGCAACAAGGGGAGGACAACTAGGATAATATGACTCAGAAATATATCACTTTTGGTGATTGGTGCAAAAAGGGAAGTGGAAAAGCTGTGCAAGCGTCCAGGTGGAAAAAAGGATAAACAACTCACGGTTCGAAATATGCAACAAATGGCGAAGGGGTTGTAATGGGGCCTCCACGGACAGGATCGTCTTCACAGTTATCAGTCGAGAAATACTCGATACTGGCGCATTTCGGACCATCGTCAGTGTTTTCAACACTATAGATTGTCCTGTACTTGCCAGCTACTGCAGCTGGGAGTTGAGTGCAGTCACTCAGGTTGAGGCGTAAGGTGTAGGGCCGGGATGAGCTGTCCTTTGCTGCTGGATTTGCGAGTAGAGTCATGCTGTATGAAGAGACATCGGAAGCCCCACCTGAAAAAGAGTGGCATAAAGGAAGGACTCCGAGAGCAGTATTTGTCTGCACCTTTTCATCCATTCCCACATTCATACATACTTTCAGACATTCATACATGCATAGGCTCATTCCCACAATACCAGCATCAGCCATTCGGCAAACTTCGCAGAGCGAAAAAAGTGAAGCAAAGAGCGTGGCGAGAGTGGAGAGTGGGATGGGGTGAACGGGGAGAGGAGAGAACGGAGAGAGTGGAGAAAGCAAGTGTGTGTCAAACCATCTCACCTGCAACACACTTGGTCTCGGTTATCCCAAAGCCTTGAGGGCACGCGCAGTAAGGCACCTGCACCGATGGGTAGTATCTCGCAGGCACGGTTTTGCAGGTGGCTCCAGTGGGGCAGACGCCACAGGACGAGTCTGAAGGGGTGGGTAGAGATGGGTTCAGCTCGGTATATGAGTGCAATTGCAAGTGGGGGTCGGAAGATTCAGAGGGGCAGGCGCCACAGGGTGAGGGTGAGTCTGAGGAAGGCAGAATGCAAAGGAGAAGCAGGCAGGCAGAAAGGCAACAGTTCAACGCGTCACAGGTGGCATCGGAGCAGAGAAACAGGAAAGAGTTGACTGTGTGGAAGCCTGAAGCCAGGGAGGGAGGGCCTCACTCACCCCACTTGCAGTAGCGCTCTCCATTTCCATCCACCACGCATTTGCCACCAGGCTCACAGCTTAACGCGTCACACGCAGGATCTGCAGCAGAGGCGAGCACCACGGGGCGACAAACAAAGCGAGTATCATAGAACACCATACGGGCAATTGCTAAGGATTCGCTTGCCACAGAGAAAGGCATTGCTTGAGGTCAAGCAAGAATTGAGGTGTATTTTGAGGCGCCTCAGCATACACCTCAATGCCCACAGAGAAAGGCATTACTCGAAATCAAGCAATGTTTTGAGACGTCTCAAAACACGTAAGGACTATAGAAAGCCGTACGGGCAATAGCCAAGGTTTCGCTTGCCACAGAGAAAGGCATTGCTCGAAATCAAGCAGTGACAGCGTCACACACACCCAGCGTATCACACCCTTGAAAATCACACCTCTCGATATCACAACCTTCGAAATCACGCCTTCTAATGAACGTACCTCTGATGACCTCTGGCGGAGTCTCTTCCTCCTCCTGCTGCTGCTCGGGAACATTGCACAAGACAGAAGCCACTGAAGCCCCCTTGCGAAGCTTCGTCTCGCTGCTTGGAAACCTGTAGGGTGTGGCAAGTGTAGAAAATGCTCAAAAGCTATTCTTAGAATCCACTCTGCTTCCTTGCCTCCCCATCTCCACCCCTCCCCACTCCTCCACATCTCCACCCCTCCCCACTCCTCCACATCTCCACACCTCCCCACTCCTCCACATCTCCACCCCTCACTACTCCTCCCCATCTCCACCCCTCCCCACTCCTCCCCAAGTCATGCGATGCAATGCTCGAGTTGTCTTGTCTCACCGTGCCTCCCTCACACACGGCCACACCACTCAAGCTCACACCCACACACATTCCAACGCTCACATGGCATGGCACCGCTGACACACCACCCACCACTCCGCACCACCCACCACTCCTCACCACCCACCACTCGCACACCAACCACCACTCACAACACCCACCACTCACACCACTATACACCACTCGCACACCACCCACCACTCACACATCACCCTCCGCTCACATGGCATCAGTCGAATCCGGGTTACCCATGCTGTCCACCGCCTTGCCCTGGCAGCTGCGCTTTACAGTCACCACGGTGTTTGGGTTGTGAGTGTTGTGAGTGCTGGTTGGCGCGTGGTGTCTGCAACGCTCCAATCACCACACACAACACTCAGCATACTCACCCAGCATACTCACTCAGCATACTCACTCAGCATACTCACCCAGCATACTCACTCAGCATACTCACTCAGCATACTCACCCAGCATACTCACTCAGCATACTCACTCAGCATACTCACTCAGCATACTCACTCAGCATACTCACTCAGCATACTCACTCAGCATACTCACCCAGCATACTCACTCAGCATACTCACCCAGCATACTCACTCAGCATACTCACTCAGCATACTCACTCAGCATACTCACCCAGCATACTCACCCAGCATACTCACTCAGCATACTCACCCAGCATACTCACTCAGCATACTCACTCAGCATACTCACTCAGCATACTCACTCAGCATACTCACTCAGCATACTCACTCAGCATACTCACCCAGCATACTCACCCAGCATACTCACTCAGCATACTCACTCAGCATACTCACTCAGCATACTCACTCAGCATACTCACTCAGCATACTCACTCAGCATACTCACCCAGCATACTCACTCAGCATACTCACCCAGCATACTCACTCAGCATACTCACCCAGCATACTCACTCAGCATACTCACTCAGCATACTCACTCAGCATACTCACCCAGCATACTCACCCAGCATACTCACTCAGCATACTCACCCAGCATACTCACTCAGCATACTCACTCAGCATACTCACTCAGCATACTCACTCAGCATACTCACTCAGCATACTCACCCAGCATACTCACCCAGCATACTCACCCAGCATACTCACCCAGCATACTCACCCAGCATACTCACCCAGCATACTCACCCAGCATACTCACCCAGCATACTCACCCAGCATACTCACCCAGCATACTCACCTCACTCTCACTCCACACACCACCCACCACTCACATGGCCTCAGTCATGCCTGGGTTGACCATGCTATCCACCACCTTGCCCTGGCAGCCGCGCTTCCCGAAGAGCTTGACCTGTGAGCACGCGACACCTGTCGCCTCGCCGCCCGAACCCACGTTGCTCAAACCCCCACGGCCGTTCCACCACACTTTCACGCTTTTCCGCCCCGCTTTCTTGGGCATGCTCACGCAGCGCTGCCTGCTGAAGCTCAACCGCGCAGTACCCAACACCACCGTTGTGGAAACGCCACTGGTCTCTTGCGCAATCCTCGCGTTGACCTTCCTGCTCGCTGCTTCCCTCACCGTGTCGTCGCCATGAGCTGCCTTCATCATCTGAACTGCTGCAGATAACAAGGGAGAGGGTGTGCAGTGAAGGGACGAGAGAGCCAACATGTGAGAGAATAGATCTGAAATGTCAAGGCAAACAGAACGAGCAGGGAGGAGGGAACAGGGAGAAAGGCATGAAGCTGAGAGCCCACAATGTCAAGTCAAGAGCTTACCACAAGTAAGTCGCTGGCTTTAGCAAAGAACTTGCTGCAATGAGAGAGAGTAGCAGACTGACCGCAGATGAGGGCAAGGGCGAGCAGCAGGAGGGCGGCAGGAGAGGCGCGCATCGACCCCATGATGATGACGGCGGGGGTTCCGCGGGAGAGACGGTGGAAGAGGCGGCGAAAGAGACGGCGCCGGAAGAGACGTAACAGGAGAGTGTTAGTGCTGTGACGTGCGGTTCACGTCGGTGTAGTACAGTCACGCGGAGTGCGATGGTGCGGTGTAGCGTACGGTTCACGCCGGTTCAGAGTCACGCGGACTGTGCTGCGGGGTGTAGGTAGGTGGGTGGAATGACGGATAATCCAGCGCAAGAATGGTCCTATGCAAGGACAGAACCGGAAGAAAAATGGTACGAAGCATAGAACTAGCCAAGCGCAACAGCCGTAGAGCCATGGCAGCGAGCTCTAGGAACCGCATGTGTGCGTCACGGCTCAGAGTCAATCGTTGGAAACAATAATAATGTAGACGTGATTGGAACGCGGTAGTTCGCGTGAGTCGCGGGGAAGAGCCAATGTGAATCTAGGAACGCGATCCAACCGACGGGTCGCTTGACTTAAAATGGACGAAATGGGACTACCGCTCGCGAACCAATGGCGAAGCGGAGAGGCTTACAGCAAGGCCTCCGTTAGTGGCTTACAATCGGGTTGAGCATTGGCCTAGTTCGGCAACTGAACAAGGCCATTGGGGATGATACAAGATCAAAATGTGGAACCAGCAGCTGCATTATACTAGCGACGAGCAGCAGCATGCGACTCGGGCTCGTCGCACTGGATAGGGTAGGAAGAATCGGGATCACAAGTCGTTGAAAAACGCGTTCCAAATCCAGACCTGATGCTAGATATCGATTTCAAATGTAGCGCTGCGGAATGAGTTGTGACACACAACAGATTCAGGGATGGGACATCAAGAGGCTGCCTTTAGGACACGTCCCCTCTGGCTCGATCCTGCAAAAATCGATCTTCCACCGTACTGAAACCTTGATTAGTGCTTCTAAAACTTTCCGAAACTTTTCTAACCCCGCCAAAAATCGATCCTGCGAGCCAAAAATCGCCCGATCGGTGCTAGAGGTGACGCGTCCTTATCTGGTTGCCTTTCACGAAATACTCGTTAACAGCAAGTCGTAGATTATAGAACAAGGAATTATGTGGTGTTTCCTGCCTGAAATCTGTATATCCTTTATAACTCATGCAATTGGGAAAGCAAGTGATTGCACTTTACAAGTGGGGAACACAAGAGAAAGCGTAAAATAGCGAAGATGGTAACGGCAAAACATGTCATTGGCGTGCAATTGACATATCTGGTGAGTGAACGCAACCCCTTATCCGACTAATACCCCCAAAATTGATAGCCCCGCCCCCACAGTACGTAAACATCTCAATATACCAGTAAGACTGAAACAAGAACTCCCCAAACTCAATCTTGTCGAATCACTAGGCAAGAATCAGAAAGAAGGAGGGGTTTTCACTAGCAGGCAGTTGAGTACATATAGCAAACCCTAATCTGGGCTGTACTCGTTATAGAGTACCCCACTGCAGGCTAGACAAACATCACATTCTGACACACCCCCATAGTCAAAGTGGGGTATAATCAGCACAGCAAGCAGGCAGAGCAGTAGGTTCACAAATACAAGCAAAGCTAGAGGCTATCACAGAGAGCAAGTGAGGAGGAGGAGAAACTGCGGGGGTGAGAAGATGGGAGGCGACGGCTGAAGCTGCAGACACACGGGCAACAGGAGTGCGCAGCACTGTCGCTACCAGGCTAAACCCGGACTACTCAGGCGACAGGCGCAGCTGGCTCTCTGTGCTCCCAGGAGTGCTCACACTGTAGCTACCAGGCTATACCCGGACTACTCAGGCCACAGACGCAGCTGGCTCTCTGGACTACCAGGAGTGCTCACACTGTGGCTACCAGGCGCAGAGCCCCGGACTACTCAGGCCACAGACGCAGCTGGCTCTCTGGACTACAGGCGCTGCGGACGACAAGACGGCTGCCTCCACTCAACTTCTCCCAGTTGTCCCACACCCCTTACACACACCCCTTGGAGTACCTCTTGCACTGCTCACACACGCACCCCCCCCCTCGTACCACTCCGACGGCTCCAACACATCCACCCCCCTCAGCGGCAGCTGCAGCAGTGGGAGACGGAGGAGGAGGAGGAGCAGGGGACGGCTCACACACCCGGCACCCCCATACCCTCCATCCCCATACTCTCCACCCCCAAACCCTAACACAGGAGCGCGGGCAGCAGCGGGGGTGGGGCGCGGTCAGAAGCTCGGGGGACAGCGTGCGGCACTGGGGCGGACTGAACGGGCCGCGCACGGGCCTGGCGCAGGCCGGACGAACCGCGCGCAAGCTGCCCGGGCCGCGCGCGGGCCTGGCGCAGGCCGTACGGGCCGCGCGCGGGCCTGGCGCAGCCCGTACGGGCCGCGCGCGGGCCTGGCGCAGGTCGCGCGGGCCGCGTCGGGCGACGGGAGGCGACGCGAGGGTCCCCGGGGGCGCCTCAACAGGCGACGAGGGGCGACGCGCGGTTCGACGGGTCAGGAAACCGCCGCGCGCCCCGAGCACGCAGAAAAAACGCTGCGCGCCTTGGGCGCGCGGCACGCAGCAAACATCGCGTACGCAGAGCGTGCGATAGGCAGAACAGCAGTGGAAGCATCGGGTGGGACCACCCACAGGATCGACCCAGGAGGGTCGACCTGCTCTGATAGCATGTCGAATCACTAGGCAAGAATCAGAAAGAAGGAGGAGGGGATTTCACTAGCAGGCAGTTGAGTACATATAGCAAACCCTAATTTGGGTTGTACTCGCTATAGAGTACCCCACTGCAGGCTAGACAAACATCACATTCTGACAAATCTGGCTGTGGCGATTTGACCACACACTTGTCACGCACCAGCGCATGGTCAATAATATTCAGCCATGCCTGATGCAACATTGGAAAGTTATTGTTTGGTTCTGACAACCAAACACCCCCTATTTTTACTCGGGAAAGGATTACATCCCTGGTGGGTAAAGACTGAAACACTTCGCAGAGCAGGTATATCGAGGGTACTGCATGTTCCTGGTAAACAGTAGAAACGAGGGGAGGGGAGGGATGACAAAGAAAAAGGATGACTCGGAAACAGTGCTTCTGACAAGTGGAGCAGAAAGGGAAGTGAGAGAAGGTACCAGTGCAGTGAAGGCATGATGATGAAAATGGAGAGTCAGCCATGATGATGAAAATGGAGGGTCAGGCATGATGATGATAATGGAGGGTCGGGCATGATGATGATAATGGAGAGCGATCAGTCAACCACTTACAGATGAACCTTTGTAACCAGCCGTTTCTCGAGCGAAAATTTATGGGAATCAGGGTTCCACTCGCAGTTGTCCGTACTGAATTCATGGATTTTGTGGCTGTACTCATTGGACTTGACGCTGTATACGATATACATCGTAGTGTACTTTCCAGCCACTGCAGCTGGGAACTGCGTGCAACCGTCCGTGTTATAACGGAGGGTGTAGGGCCGCAAGGTATAGTCCTTGGCTGATTGATTAACGATGAATGTGTAGCTGTTGCCACCAACTGTGTCCTTTCCTCCTGAAAAAGAGCGGGAAACAGAAGGGCTCGGTAAAACGTTTGCTACCATCTTTGTCGATGGTCATTTCTCATGCCACATTTTGCATTGTTCTGCTCACATTGGCACTGTAGAGAGCAGAGAGAGCATGCACTGAACAAGCTCACCCACAACACATCTGGCAGCGTCATCCCACAGCCGTGAGGGCAAGTAGAGAGAGTGAGGCGAGTAGGGAGAGGAGAGTGTGAGGCGAGTAGGGAGAGGAGAAGGAGAGTGTGAGGCGAGTAGGGAGAGGAGAAGGAGAGTGTGAGGCGAGTAGGGAGAGGAGAGAGTGAGGCAAGTGAGGAGGGAGTGGAAACTCACCCTCAACACATTCAGTGGCGGTCATCCCATAGCCTGCAGGGCACTCGCAGTAGGGCACTTGTATTGGAGTGCTGGTCTTTGATGGCACGGTCTTGCAGGTGGCGCCAGTGGGGCAGCTGCCACAAGGTGAGTCTGAAAAGGGGGGTGGAGATGGGTGTAGTGCGGTACGTCAGTGCAATGGTAGTGGGGCCAGTAAGGCACTTGTATTGGAATGCTGGTCTTTGCAGGCACGGTTTCGCAGGTGGCTCCAGAGGGCAGGCGACACAGGGCGATTCTGAGGGGTGGGGATGGGTGAGGTGCGGAATGTGATTGCAAGGATGCACATGCAATGCAAGTGCACATGCGTCTTGATGTACGAATGCACGTGTTGATGGGAGAGCAGGAAGGATAAGATCGACGGAAAGAAAGAAAGAAAGAAAGAAAGAAAGAAAGAAAGAAAGAAAGAAAGAAAGAAAGAAAGAAAGAAAGAAAGAAAGAAAGAAAGAAAGAAAGAAAGAAAGAAGAGAAAAAAAAAAACTCACCCCACTGGTAGAAGCGCTCTCCATTCTGGTCCTTCACACAGGTGCCACCAGGCTCACAGCCCAACGCGTCACAGGGAGGAACAGTGCAGAGGATAGAGGAGAGAGGGCTGCGTGAAAGCCTGAAGCAAAGGAGAGAGGGCCTCACTCACCCCACTGGCAGTAGCGCTCTCCATTCTGGTCCTTCACACAGTTGCCACCAGGCTCACAGCCCAACGCGTCACAGGGAGGAACAGTGCAGAGGATAGAGGAGAGAGGGCTACGTGAAAGCCTGAAGCAAAGGAGAGAGGGCCTCACTCACCCCACTGGCAGTAGCGCTCTCCATTCTGGTCCTTCACACAGGTGCCATCCGGCTCACAGTCCACTTTTGAGGCGCCTTAAAAGCAGACATACCCAAAAACACACACACACACACACACACACACACTCACTCACTCACTCACCCCACTGGCAGTAGCGCTCTCCATTCTGGTCCTTCACACAGGTGCCATCTAGCTCACAGCCCACTTTTGAGGCGCCTCAAAAGCAGACATACCCAAAAACACACACACACACATACACTCACTCACTCACCCCACTGGCAATAGCGCTCTCCATTCTGGTCCTTCACACAGGTGCCATCCGGCTCACATTTCA